GGTTTTCTGTCATTAGCGTAAGCTCAGGATGTTTCTGAGAATAGATTTATTTTATCAACTGTACAAATAATAATAAAAAACATGGGTGACACTGCATTTTAAATAAAAACTGAATTTAAATCCTAGTTAAGCTGCTTTGAACTAATTTAAGTGCTTTGTTTTCTGGGACAACCATTTTCTACAACCAGTAGGATGGTTTTAAATTTCATCACTTAATTATCTTATTAAAATTGTTATCCCATTCATACCCTGTGTGTTTTGATGGGAGCTACTGTATCTTTAAAATGACTGTCGTAACTCCTAGGCTGTAGCTCAAGATTAGCACATACTGTCTCTTTCAGTCAGGAAGTACAGTCTACTGTACTGTAGCACCTTGCCATGGTGGGTTAAGTCAGACAACCTTTATGACTCTTATTTAAATAACTACTACAGTCTCAGTAAAAGCGCAGATAAAAAGTAAGATGCAATTCACAAAATACTATTTTTATTTTGCTCTAATGTAACCATCTTTGTTGATGACAAGGTATCACCACAATAAGGCTCCTGACAGTGCAGATGGAATGTTTCAAAGGCTCTTAAATTAGTAGGAACACTCTGTGCTTTGATGTGGTGAAAGAAAGTTACAGTGAATCCAGACTAGTAAAACAAACAAAATAATTTTTGTCTCTCATGCAAGTAAATAATGTTGAACATAATTGTACTGAATGCATCTCTTCATCACTCTAAGAAACCTAGTCTACCAAAATGAAATGGACAGAGCCATTTCAAAGTTTACGTTCAATAAACATCACAGATTATCCAAGGTTTAATGGCATGCTGTATGTGCACATATAAGACAAACAATAATCATTCTCATTTCAATCTGTCCAATTTGTATACGGTATACAGTATATTCTTGTATGCTTTTTACAGTACACAATATAGGAGTACAGTTTTTTCCCAAAAATTGCTTCCCAGCTAACTGATGTGGCAACGTCAACGCCTGTAGTGCTGTAAATGTTGTGGTAGTGCTAGTTTGTAGACTCCAGAGGATGCTATCATGGTTTACAACCTTGTCAGTCAAGAGCTGACCAACACAACACTGCTGAAATGTTCACTTGCCATTTTGGGATTATATAATGTTCTGACATCTTAGTAATGTGCATGAAGCATCACTAAATATTCTTCTAAAAGACAAAATGCAAATATCGGAAGATTTTATAATGTGGCTTACACACCGTCTCATAGAGTCAATCTGCTCCCTTCCTACAGTGGTGTAAAAAAACTTGCCAAAAACCTATAACCTTCCATTTGGAAATGTTGTTACAATTTTTTTTGTGTTATGTGGGTCCTTAGTTATTGTTTTTTCCAAAAAACTGGGTCTTGCCCTTCAACACATTAGTATGTTTTTTAGCCACAACCTTAACCTTCTGTTTCTTTTGGACTGAGGCTCATTTTTAACATTTGTATATATTTAAGCACTGAACTCCCAAATGTGATCAAGTAAGAACGAGCAACACAAAAACGAAAGAGGATACTGAAAAAATGCAATATACAATAATGTCATAAAAAACAATTCACATACAAATGAATGTACAGTAAAAATACATACATCAAGTATTATAAACCTCTGATTTTACAAAAGTAAAGAAGTGCTTTTATGAAAGTAAAAAGCACATTGACAAAAACTACAGCATCGGAAATGATCAAAATGGCAAAAACTTGTTTAGCCAGTTTTAGAAATGATATTGTAGCACAAAACACAAAATCCAGGTCTAGTCAGGTACTGCTTGGCTTGACATGATACAGTGCCTCACATTTTGTTCACCCTAGTGCGCCTAGAACCAGCCACACTTTTTTGATGCTACTACTGTTTAAGACATACTGTATGTTTCTCCCCAGCCTGAGACATGTTGTTGATCTCTTCCTTGGTAAACACCCAAGTGAAATATTAGTGAAATCTCATATTTGGCCTTACTAATACCTTTTTACAGACAGTATATTTGCAATTTATAATTTTCTTTATGTCTCATTTTCAGAGTGAAGTTCTGATGTTCTTTTTCAATCATTTTAAAAACTGTGTCCATTCTCATCTTCATCTTAGACTTTGACATGGGGCAAATCCCTGCTTCAGGCAGAATATTTTTAAACTACTGTCATGCATTGTCAAGCAATATCAAATCTATCTTTTCCCATTCTGTTCCACTGAAGCCTCCTTCCTAGTCTGCTTTCCAAAGTTTTGTACAATTTCACATTATACTGTATCATATGACCATATTACAATCGGTTTCCCTAATTGTTCTTTCACTGGTTGTGAAGACTGTTTGAAAAGACTAGATAGATACAGAGATATCTGGTATTGCCTCTGACAAACTGATTAAGACAGCATTTGCTGGTCTAGTCTGCTATTTAAGTTTGAGATGCTGATGTCCCTATTGTTTTGTTTCACCTGTGGAAAATCAAAAATCTCTCATGATAACTGCTGCTTCCTTTACACACAATTTGTATTTCTTCCTATAAGACTACATTATAATTGATACATGTATTGTAAGTGGTGGTTTGATTCATACTCCTATTACAGTGACAATTCAATGCTTTTGTTCCAAATCTGATCCATATGCAGTAGTTTTTGAGACCCACTGATGTTGATTGACATGCATATCTTTTAACAGGATCTTCAATGTTTTAATTGCATCCACTCTGATACCTACATTTAGACACCTGTTTTACTAACAAAAACCACCACCAAAAAGATTAACGCCAATGGCATATACTGTACAAACGACGCAGAGCATACAGCACTAAATCTATGGTCAACAAGACCAGGTAGAAAGACAGTCCTAGCAAGTGTCAAAGACACTGTGACCTAAGCAAACTGCAGCTATATTTATTTCAATTGGTTTTCTGCCTGTGACAAAAATTAATATACTGATACTTGCACATTTAGTTGAAACTGTATCCCATAACAGATTTTCACATATGAATAAAAATATATTTTACACAGCATGTAATGCATTTTGTTGCTTGAATGTATAAATAGAATCAATCCATTTTAATTTTTAATACAAACCGAAATAACCACATAATAACACACCGCAGAGGGACACAAACTCATTTTTTATTAGCTTTTTATCTTTGAAAACTTTAACTTTAATGGTGAAATCTGAAGAATTTACATTAAAGCCAAAAGAAGCTTTGAAAATAACCAGTGTCTGTGTTGTCATGAGCTTACTACTATTACAGTTTTTTATTTTTACACAACTTTTTTTACATGCAATGTCAATATTAAGTTACCGTATACTGTAATTCATACTAATATACTGTCAACACTGAAAGAATAATGTAGAAAGAGATGTTGCATTTTCCTGATACCCCAGTGATAGTTTTTAAGTGTTTTGTAATGATAAACATCGAATGAACCAGATTTGTCGAAAAAAGGGTATTGACACTTCTTATTAAGATGATAATAACATATTATTAAACATAAATTATCATACTTTCTGTAGCACAGTGCTACTGCTGAAAATATCAGTACCGCTCTCAGATTTTACTTTTGGTTAGCAACACACATAAAGAACTTCATGTTGGTTTTGGACAGGAAAAATAATTTCTTATGCACTGCTACAGTGTTAAGTTTTTCTTAGAGATTTTCTCTTTCATTGGGTTTTAACTGTTACTAAAAATCAATTCTGTATATAGCACCGAGCATTTCCATTTATCTGTTTTATCATTAATAATAAATGTAAACTGCATTCACTGTTACAAGAGTTTTTTGTATACCCCTTTTTTCTTATCATGATTAAATGGATTTTGGTCCATTTTTAAACCTATTTTTTTTTCAAAAATGAATATACTGTATAAAGATACCTTATACAGTATATCCCGTAAAAAAAGATTCAGTTCAATATAAATCTGCACATGACTTTCTTCAAGTTGCAGCTGTTTTTTTAGGTTTAATCATTCTTTTACAGGTTTTTGCAAAGTGTGGCCACGTGGTGAAAAACAACAACACTAAACACTGAAGGCTGGGCTGTTTGAGGCTATAAATGCAGTGTTTTCACACGAGTGGAGAGACACATCTGTGGAAACAGTCATCTGAGCTCTTTGAGAAGTGTTTTTTTTTCCTTGACCAAACCATTTCCAAACCGCCTGTCTAATTCATAAGGTGTGAGCAGTTTGCCATGGTTTGGCAACAAACATATGAAAATGTATTGATGATAGTGGCAATTCTAATTCAATTCACCTCTCTTTGCTCATTTTCTATCTTCATTTAAATAGTAAAACAGTTAATGCAAACCTCAAACATTATTAACCAGCTTTGTGTTTACAGTGTATTTAGAGTTTAGTATTATATTATTATATTTAGTACTATATAGTAATAATGTATTATATTATTATATTTAATAATATGTGTTTTTAGAGAGTTTTTGTTCATGAACTGCATAAAACTGAAGAGTTAA